AGTCAAACAGGGGAAGTTATCTCTGAGTAGAGATACCTTGGTCTAGTGTGATTGGAAACTGCTTGTAGAGACTTTAAAAGTCAGTTAACAACTCAAAACGTTTTCTGGCATTCCAAGAGAAGGGGTCTGGGTACTGGGAAGAGGGTACCAGCCTTATCGGAACCCAAAGAGTCTGCTGTTATGTTATACAAATAAAGTGAACTGGAATGGTCTGGGAAAAACCAGTAACCAAAGCCTCTCAAAATAAAGAACTATCGTAACTGAATAATTCAAGAAGCTCTCACTAGACTGATATACAAAAATAAGAATGTGTGCTTATACTACTTTGCCTCAGTATTTTCAACCCCTGACTTCACCTAACCTTTTCCTTGGATGTACAATAAAACATTGTTATTTTTGAATTTTAAAAGCATCCAAAAGTGCCATTTTCTGTCATTTAAGTTAAAGGGAGACCCTAACGTTGCCCTCAGGTCCTGGGCTGAGAAAATATTGACACGGGGTGGGACTGCTACAGCTAATTTATAGAAGAACATACATTACCAGGGTTGCTCAGTCAGTGAAGGGACACAAAAGAAATTGGGAGGGGAAATCTTGCCTCTAAGGAAGGGAAGTGGCCAGGGTCTTGTCACAGTAGGTAAAATAATATTTGTACTTATAAATCCATGGTTGTTAATCTGATCCTAACCTTCATTATGTTTGCAGTTTATATCATAGATATTTTCTGCCAAAAATTGGAAAGGAGGGAGTTTTTAAATGGAGGAGGTACATCCCACCCTGTAAAATCCTAGTCAAACAACTAGCAAGGTATAATCCTGCCAAGTGAAAAAATACAAATTTGGTCATGCTGTCCATTATGCTGGCTCTAAGTGTCATTTACTTGCCTCTAGTCCACGTTAGGAAATTTGTGTGTATATGTGTGTGTTTTAAATCCTATTATGCTCTGAAAACAAAAGGATGTGTGGGCTGCCAGAAGTGACATTTCTCTTGATTGTTTATTGTCTCCTACCCCACTATTTTAAATCCTCTGTTACAGGTTTTTTTCTGCCCCCACCTTTATAAAAGTTCCCTGGAGAAAGGATCTGTGGCATAGCTATACTCCAAAGGCAAAAATTCCCTACAGCTCTTTTACAACATAGGTAATTACACAGGTAATTTACCATTACAATACTAAACAGAGTTATCTTTTAAAGTCCACTGAACTCATTTCAGGATTGTATTGCAAATGTGCTAAAACGGTGATAAATGTTAAGGGGAAAAAACAATAGGAAGTTTAAGAAACAATACAAGAAGCTGTGAAACTGTGTGAAAGCCTTTGGGAAAGCTTAAAAGAACAGGTAGGTTTTACTGTGTGATATGCAACTGAATGGGGGGGGGTGCATCACTCCTTTTCCAGCATTAATTTTTGTTTTTTCCAGGCACTCTGAATATGATTCTGGAGAGCTGTGGAGCTGAGAGTGCATACTGTACTGTACACAGTCATCTGAATAAGGGTGATTATCATTTAGTCTGAAAAAGGCAATGCATGTATTTTGCTGCTTCAAAACATGCTACTCAGAAACAGCATTTGGAGGGTATGCTTATGCATGTACTGAAGCTGCAAAATAAATGATTGGGTTGCATGTTTTGGGATTATCATGCATAATGTGCTCTCCTGGTATGCAAGATTAGAATGCAAGAACACCTGAAAAGGATGTCAGTAAATAAGGGGAGAGGGAGAGAGAGAGAAATCATCTTATTCAGAACTAATCTTCAGCGGTGTCAAAAAACTTAACAGAATAACTGACCATCAAATCAATTACACTTCTAGTGCAGAGACTACTCCTTAATAATCCTGTTTGGGAGGAAATATGTGCTGAAGCATCATGTCAGAGGCAAAAGGAACATTACATGAAAAGAAAACATTTTACTTTTTGGTAGCATAACACAAAGCAGGCACATAGCAAATCTCAGTTTACAACAGGAACACTGAGTCCTTCAGCAATGTGATATTGATTTGAAAGGAACAATGAATAGTATGAAACGAACACAAAAGATCCATGTTTGGCGGATTTTCACCTGGGTACAAATCAGTCTACAACTTAATTTTTCCCCACTTTCTTAGCCAGGGGAAATTTATATGTCACGTGGTTTTGCAGGGACAACTTAAAAAAAAAAACCCTGGGTAAAAACGCTGGGAAAGATAGCTGTCAATAGGCAAGTTTCTGGTTTAATGTCTTATTATGAAATTTATCTGTTCATTTCCCCTGCCACAACCAGGTAGAGTTGGCTTTCTTTTTGCAGTGGCTTATTGCTTGTCTTGACTTGATCCGCAGGGGCCAAACAAGGGAAAATTTTATGAAAGCTTTTCAGTGATGTTTATAGTCATAAAATGACTACCTGTCTGCAAGATTGAATGAATTTAATCTCTGGAAATTTTAAGCAGAATAAATTCCGCCCTGAGTCCGCTCGCGGGGAGGGCGGGGTAAAAATGTTTAATTAATTAAATAAATAAATAAATAAATAAAATGTATGATTCTAAAATTTGTCAGAATTAAGACATCAGCACGTAGCCTAGCTAGGCTAAAGGTCCGAACACACTCAAACATTTTGGCTTAAAGTTTTATGAGATCTGTATAAGATGTTATGACAAATAGTTGAGTGAAATTTCTCCTCCACAAACACTGGTATAGACTCTGTAGATAAAAGATGAACATGCTGAATATTGGATGATGGGAGCTTTGGTTCTCAAAAGCTTACACCCTAAATATCTTGTTGTTACTAAACTGAAATCTAGCTCTTCTACTGCAGATGAAGCTACCCTTCCAAAACTATGCTGAATACTAGTATCTTATAAGGCAAAGTGACTAATGACTCAGAACAGTCAATAGCCTGGGCAAAACAGATGAAGTTTTCAGTCACTGGAATTGCAAGTTGCACTGATGAGTGGCCTAGGGTCAAGTAAGCGTCTATTTTTCCCACCATCATCTTCCAAAGACAAGATCCATTGAATGACACATTAAAATCCACTGGTACAGATCAAACCCCTCTACTCTCTACAAATAACAGGAACTAAATTGAGAATAAGGGGTGGGAAGTATCTACACAATTGCTAAATAACCTGGGACTGTGGAAGATCAGAAGTACTGAAAGAAATGCATTCATGGCTCTGCTGGAGCCAGGGATGTTGTGCCAGTCTTTCCACCTCAAACATAGCACAAGGCATTATTGGATGAGGTGGGTTGGGGGTGCTGGGAGAGGAGCTTAAAGAAACTTATAAGCAGGCTTCACACTTTGTACAAATGTATTTGCCACATGCTGCTAACTCACGTACCCTTCTTTTTTTGAACATAATGGGGTTAGCTTTAGGGGCCAAGCATGCATTTCTAGGGATCTCTTCCAACTGGTACTAGTGGAGGCCTTCTGCACCTGCTTATTGTCCCTAGAATGCAATGTCATCAATAGACCTAGTGATGTGACTAGTTAGGCTATAAGTAAGAATGGTAAGAATAGCACAAAACAAAACAGAGGTCCACTGACACATTTAGAAACTAATAAAATTTATTCTAGTATACTTAGTAAGCACTCTGAGGCATCTGATAATGAAAGGCTATTCCTAAGACAGCCCATCATGCACTGGAGTGGTCAGTGGATCAGGGAAGGAACTCAGTGCTGAACAGCATCAAATAAACACTTAGTTGCTTAAGCAGCATTTTGGGGAGGGGGGTTGGCACCCTTTGGCACTGTTTTATGTAAAGGCGGGGATAAACAAGGCTGATAGCAATGTTGGCCAATTCTGAAACCAGGGAGAATTGGCCCAAAATGTTGGTAGTCAGTGTGTTTCCTTACTTGCAACCTGCACTTTTTTGAGTTAATAGTGTGATGATGCAGATCGGCCATTTCATAAAAGCTAGTTTAACTCATATATGCATTTGGGTAGGAGAGGTGCTAGTACCATGAAATGTCTCTTGGTGAGGACTGGTAAGCAAGTTGATGGGTACACTATTACATTTTTGAAAAAAAAATTAAGATGATGCAGGGACAGGGCTGAGGGATAGTGGAAAAGGGACCATGCTGGTAATATTACTCAGCTGAGTGTTGAGCTGTGATGCACAGGTGGATGTCCTGAATGATTCCTACCACTTAGTGCACTGCTTATCACATGATAGATTAGACAATTGTTACCTCAAATGAATGAACAAGAAAAAGGTTGTAGTTTGGTGATAATCACTTGGTCCACACACTAAGTACATACATGAACCATTCATCCTGAGATAACAGTCACCCATGTGGAACAATTTTAACTGACTTCTATCTAGTGGCAATAACATGTCATGTTAGTAATGATCACTTAAGGGAACCTGTTGACAACAGTCTCAAGCTTCTTCTTGTAATTATGACACTTCTTTAAAAGTAGCACTGAAAACTGTGATCAGGCCAAGAAGAGTTGCCTGAGGGGGCTAGGAGAAGCTCCATATATTGTGCTTATCAAACAAAAGTACGTTATCAAAACAGAAGAATAAAATGAGCAACAAGCAAGCATACCTATAAAAGACAGACCCTTGAAGAATGTAATCCCCCCTCCAGGTTTGACTGATGATATTCAGCTGTCTGTAAAATGAGCCCCCAAATAACAAAAGGAAAAGTAGATAAGGAAACTGACTAAAATTGCAGTTGTCAAGGAAATTACAAACCTCACAATCCACTGAGAGATGATTCTATCCTTTGCTTGTGTCTTGACAAACTGTAATTTGTCACATATGATGAAGACTATCGATCATACATTCAGTTTCTGGGACGTTCTGGTAAACAGAGTATGCATGAGCCCCAGACATGATAAAGAATATTGCCATAGCTCCATATCTTTTCCCAGAAGATGACCAAAAGGCTGATACTAATAACAGTCAGGGCGTGCATATATAACATTTTCCTTCTTTGGGAGCTGCCCCCCCTTCTTTTCAGAAAGAATTATTCATGGGATCCTGGACTGACAATTGCAAGTGGACTGGGAAAGTGCAGGGTGTTTGAGCAAAGAAAACAGGCCATGAGAGTTTTGGCTCCTCCCATCTTCCGTGCTATCTCACTTTCTGAAGCTCTTGTCTTAGCCAGGATGGTAATGGCTGTCCTAGTCTGTGCAGCAGTTTGGAGAGTTCTACATTGTGATCTCTGTAGTAGTTTGATAGGAATGCCCTGGACTGACAACAAGGAAAACAAAGAAAAGTCTTGTCAGGAAAAAAAAAATTAACAACCATCTTGGCATTTGTATTCCATGGAAGGAAAATCTAAGTTATAGAAACGGTTAAAAGGGATGTTGTAGTGGTCATACATTCACACTTTATTTAAATCTTTTAAATTTCATGATACATTTTATTTATTTTACTTAAAGTACTTTTTGCTACCTTTCCACCCTACATAAGATCAACCAAGATGGCAACTACTAGCCTGCCCAATCTGGTGTGACTCCACCTGAAGTATAAGCTGGAGACTCAGAATGTCGAGGAAATCCCAACCCTTGCAAGAAATGATCTCCCTCTGTAGCAACTGTGCCCCTCTGGAAATGTCTATGGATGGTGGGCAAGTGAGCAGGAGCCATCCCATGATTTTTCCATGCAATTTAGTAGCACAATAAAAGTACCATTGCCGAACAACAGAAAGCACTTAGTGTGTTGACGCTAAAGCCAAAGTTAACTCCTAGCATGTATTCTTGGATCCTTCCATTACAACCCATGCATTCAAAGAACACAGGGCTCCATGCCATTAGCTCTGGGTTGACTAATGGTTTTTACACATATTAAACTTCTGATAAACAATTAGGTATTGAAGACAAATGCTGGCATTAGATCCGTATGAAGATGCAATTCCAGTGATCACTTGTTAACAATTACTTTTGCTTCAGGGAGATTCTTGGACTATCCCAATATAGCTTTTAATTGTTAAGTTAGATGCATGAATAAAATGGTACCTCTTGATCCATTGGTGGGTACTTTCGGCCTTTGCTTTTCCCCAGGCATTTTGTCTTTCCTCCCTCCAGCAGCTGACACCAAAAGCCTTTCTGAGGGTCAAACCTATGAAAAGTTTGTTTAGATTTATAGTGGGTCTACAAAGGGACGTCAAACTCACTCAGCAGTCTCTGGGAGTTATTACAAAGCAATCCTAACAACTACAAAATTGTTCTTTATCTAAATCTGTAATCTGGCAAAGATATATTATCTGTGATCAAAAAATGGAGCCATTTTGAAGCTATTTAAAAACTCACTAAGGAACGCGACAAACAGTTTTGAATTTGTTGCCATGAGATGTATAATACATTGAAAAGATTCATATCCCCCCCCCTACCATTCAGCAGATGCTTTGGATAGCTGAAGTATAATTCATTGGGATGTAAAGGTAATTAGCTGCCAAATATTGTCTTGCCTTGGGCCTGTACCTATAATAGCACTGCACCTGCATGCATATGCATATGAGTTCATTGTAGGCAAAAGGGGATCCCCCCCAGCACAGCCTATTACAATGTAATCCTCAGAGCCAAAATTGTCCTTAGTTGTGGCATCAATTAAAATTAAATAAATCATTGATTTAATGGATATATTGAGAGCAGATTTATTTCTAGCTTGGATTTCCCAATCTCCTTTCTGCATAGTAAAGTACTTTTGCTGGTGTTCAGTAATTTCCCCAGAGAAGAAGCAATATAGTTTGCTGTGTACAAGGAAAGAAAGAAAGCTGCAGAACTATGATTCTCATAATATATCTGCTTTCAGTGAAATGTATTTAACTTTGCCATGGAGAAATGTTAATTTGGAAAACTTTAAAAGAAGCAAACAAGCAGACAATCAGTTGCATGAAGTCAGAACCTTTTAAAAACCCACTGACCTGATCCTTTGGCAAGGATAATACTGTTGGGTTTGAGTGCTCTAACTTTCCAAGCCTGTCTTTTTATCCCCTTGGAAATCGGGGTGGGACTTTACCCTCTATTGCTCATTGGCTGTTGGCCAAATAAGATTTCTTCATCTCTTACTTCTATCCAGTAGATGGTGCTAACATAACACTAATACCATTAATAGTCTCAGAGAGATCCACTATGTTACCCTTATTAATTTGGTAGCCACCACTGTTTTAAACAGTTACTCATACAGTACAATCCTATGCAGAGTGACTCCAGTTTAAAGCCACTGAATTCAATAGCTTAGAGTCTGCAGAGGACTGCACTGATAATCTTGGGGCTCTTTGTGAGGTTTATATCTGACTATGTAACTTTTTTGGTGGAGGGATGAAAATACTATGAGGGATTTAGTTTTGAACTAAGAAAAACTGGTTTGCAAAAGCCATGAGAATAAGTTCCTTTTCTCAAACACAAGGGACAATTGGTTGTGTTGATACACTGTGGAAGAGAAATCTCACCATGAACAGCAGAACTGTGGTTGATGTATGAGAACCTTTAACAGAAAAAGGAAAGTTTCTGGTTTATTGTTAAAAGGATGGTCCAATACCTGAGTACAGGCTGGGTTGAGAGAAGGAAACAAAGAATAAGAGAAACCATCAGGATCACTTAGGAAAGTCACATTGCTAAGTTAAATCTTAAAATGGAGGTTGCATTGTCATTGGAGAAACATATTCCATTATGTCACATTGAGATGCTTATGCATATAACCCCACCTTATTTCCCCATTCCAGTTGCTTCTCTGGAAGCGTTTATTTTTCATTTAAACAAGGGTGTTGAGTTAATGTGACACAATTCCATTATCCAGTCTGGTTATTACTCCTTCCTCAGTTAGGAAGCTTAAGATAATACTGGTTTTGAGACAATACAGGAAATAAATGCCTGACCTGAATGGAACAAAGAGCTTTTAAAAAGGCTGAGAATCCTAAGTAAGTTTATGATTCCTACCACATTTCCCTATTTCTCTTTGGCTAGCATAAGAGCAGATAAAAGCTGATATATTTATTTATTTGCATTTTTACCTCGCCCTCCCTGCGAACGGGCTCAGGGCCGTTCCTCCATTCTACTGTTGGCCCTCCACAGTAACTGGTTGGCCAACAGCCACTGTGGAAGATAGGATGCTGGACTAAATGAACCACTGATTTGATCCAGCAGGACTCTCCTTGTGTTCTTGAGTTCTTACTGAACTAAAAAGCATTTCCTAAAAATGTCCTGATGTATTGGATTGCTCCTAAACAACCTTGGTTACATAATATTACCCTCAGGGCACTGAAGTCAATGTGAGAACACCCAGAGAAGATTATGGGTTTCAGGGAAACACATCATATCACCTAAAACACATCCAGGGCACAAAAATCTCCCCCTTTGACTTCTTTTACGATGTTGACCTGGTATTAATATAATGTATGACCTGTGCACAGACAGGATGATTACAAAGGACAACAAAATGACAAAAAAGGACTCACGTTAGGGCTTCTGAGTAATTATAATGAGGAGAAACTCCCAGAAACTTCTGCACTTCATCCATTACAGTAGCTGGGTCACTTCTGAGCTGCTGTCCATCAATGATGAGCAACTACATGAGAAGATATAAACACAAAGCTCAAATGAGGACTGAGATAGCTTAGTGTGCTTTATGAGCTATCTAGACAAAAGATAACTTGGTATGAGAAAAGTTTTAATTCAATTCATCCCTAATGTAAAAATAAAATCTCTCAAAATAAACTAATAAAAATAACCACTGAACAAAGATAGTTACACATCTATACCAGATGTGCAGCAAAATCCTCCACTCCAGTTGGTGAGATGCTATAGAAACTTAAGAACATAAGAACATAAGAGACGCCAATGTTGGATCAGGCCAAAGGCCCATCCAGTCCAACACTCTGTGTCACACAGTGGCCAGAAACACCAGTGCCATCAGGAGGTCCAGCAGTGGGGCCAGGACATTAGAAGCCCTCCCACTGTTGACCCCCCTCCCAAGCACCAAGAAGACAGAGCATCACTTGCCCCAGAGCCCCTAGCTATGAGATAAGTCATCTTGAGCAGCTTGGTCAGTTATATCAAATGCAAAGAACAACTGAAACTCATCATAAAACTACAAGCACACAGAGAAAAATTATCGTGTCACAGTATTCTCTGTGGCTCACCTCTACCACTGTGTGATGCAATCACTTGGAACAGAAAAAGGGCTACGGCCAGCCCTGATGATGTATATGGGATGTCTGTCTCTGTGTGTGTGCGCCCGTGTGTGTATACATATACACACGGGGTTCACAGAGAGACCTTCCTGATATTCAAGGCATGAGGCAAGCTGTTCCACCTTTTCCATCTCCATTGTGAACACAAAAGGCAAAGTCAATTGCAAATTCTCTGGCACTATTAGATCTTCGACGTGGTCTCTGTACTTCACACCCATGGGATTCAGTGCACACGCGCTGAATCAATCGGTGCTGTAGCAAGCTCTTTTAATGCATTTTCACGCCCAGTCCCTCGGGCATGTGCAGGAACCCCACCGCGTATGCCCAGAGGGGTGGGCGCAGACATCTCGCCAGTTCCTTTCTTACCGCCGCATTGAATAGACCTATTTTTCGTCGGTCAGATCAGTTGCTTTCGGCTATTCGCCTCAGCTCTTAGGAATTATTTCCTTTTATTATTTTTTCTTTCTTTCGCTTTTCTTTTTTGTTGTTTGTTCTTCAACAACAAAAAAATCTTTACTTTCCATTGAGGGGGACTCTGCCGATTACCTCAGGCCTTCAGGCTACACCCCCTTCAAACATTCCCCCTTCTTCGTTTTCTTTTATGGAGAAAAAGTGGGTTTTTTTTCAATAGGTGCAAGGGTTGCGGCAGCAGACTTGCTCCTCCAGACCATCATACCCTCTGCATTTTTTGCCTCGGAGAGTCTCACCAGCCAGAGTCCTGTCGTCATTGCACTCGTTTTCCCAATCAAATGCGAAAAAATGGAGCTGCGCAACTTAAAGTAGCACTGCTGGAATCGGCACTTACTCCTACATCTGTGATAGAAGAGAGACCATGAACATCGACAGCGCCTGCATTGAGACCTGCCTCCGATGCCGAACACTCGACACAAAAGCTCCCGGCATCGAAGTCGCAATCTTTTGCGTCCACGCCAATCAAAAAGAAGACCAAGGCGAATAAAGATCACAAATCCGCAAAAAAGGGCTCCAAGCCTCTTAAGGCGGCAAAGAAGGGGAAGGAAGTGGTGCCCGCACTGGGTGATGCCCCTATAGTGCCTCCTGCTCCAACAGCAGTACCGATATTGGAGGCCCAACTCCCTCCGCCGATACCCACCACCCAACTACTGGATTCCCCCATCCAACAAGTGGAGCGTCCGTACTCCGACATCGACACGGTGGAGCTCCTAAGTCACCAAATGGGTGCAGAGCTTTCCCCCTCTCCTTCGACTTCATCGGCATCGATGATATCGGAGGCTCCCAATGTTGAAGCACGTCAGTACCGACACGCTGACAAAAACAACAGCTCAACACGACTAAGCATGTCCTCGAGGCATCTTCCAGAACCGTGGCCTCTGCAATAGCTCTTAGGAGATATTCCTGGCTCCGCAATACCAATTTGCCCATGGATACTAGATCTTATGTGGAAGATCTTCCATTTGATGGCCTGGGACTTTTCAATGCCACTACTGATTCTACTCTGCAAGAATTAGATAAGAGCATAAAAGCTCTAGGAGTGTCATCCTCTGCAAGACAATTATACTGACCCCGCACCTGGTCGAGATCCTGGTAGTGACGTACCCCAAGTCATCAGTCTCCGGACACTCAATGGAGACCAAGAACATCTTCGGGAGGCCAAAAATCCACCTTCCAGAAACCGAGATTTGGATCCGGGCATCTTCCCGCTCCAAACAAGCCAAACCCTCCAAACAGAGTTTTTTACTTCCCAGTCACCGAGTCAGCTCAAATCCGACTGTCACCGTTTCTTCAAACTTGGCATCACATCAATTTGGACGAATGGGTACTTTCCATATTGTCCTGAGGCTACAAAATTCAGTTCCACCAGAACCCCAATACTCCGGTCGTCATCTACACGCCCCCTTCTCCACCTCTCCTAGAGAAGGTGTCTGTCCTTCTGCAGAAGGGGGCCATCGAACATGTACCACCACACCTCCACGGGACGGGATTTTATTCCAGATACTTCACAGTCCTGAAGAGAGATGGAGGCGTTCGACCCATATTAGATCTAAGGGAACTGAACCATTTCGTGACTTACCACCGCTTCCGCATGGTATCCCTACAACAAATCATGCCATTGCTTCGGAGACACATCTGGATGGCCACCCTCGACCTCCAAGACACGTATTTCCACATTACTATGCATCCCTTCCACCACCAATACCTACGCTTTGCGATTGGTCAACAGCACTACCAGTATACGGCCCTTCCATTCAGCCTATCCAGCACCCCAAGGGTCTTCACAAAGACTATGATTGTGGTTGCAGCTTTTCGCCGTCTCCGAAGTATTTCCATCTACCCATATATAGACAATTGGCTTCTGGTAGCGCCTTCCAAGACTGCCCTGGTCTCAAACGTCAAAGAGACTCTGGCGCTATTGGACAATCTGGGCCTATGAGTCAATCAACAAAAGTCTCAATTGTGTCCGGTCCA